AAGACTAAGAACCCACCCAGTTGGGCTGCACATCCATAGTAGGATATGGTCTTCTTTGAAACCAAGAAGTTCACCAGCATTTCAGGGGCAATGACAGTAGAATCGCCAAGATTGATGACAGCCAAGTGCCTGAGGAAGAAGTACATGGGGGTGTGAAGCTGAGCGTCAACACTGGTGAGGGTGATGATGCCCAAGTTCCCGGCCACGGTCAGCCCGTAGATCAGCAGGAAAACAAAGAAGAGTGGAATCTGGAGCTCTGGGCGGTCTGAGACTCCTGTGAGAATGAACTCAGTCACCTGGGTGAGATTCCCTGGAGCCATTTATTTTGTGGCTTTCATCTTCTAAAGGAGAAAGTGGAAGGAGATTAATAGATGGTAAAATCAATTTTTTGGTAGTTGCTAGATGGCTAACTGTTTTATTTAAGTTGAATTTTTTTTGTTTACAGTTAAAAGTGTCAGAGTTTAATTTTATTTCTCCCAATCTTTTAACAAAATTCAGAAATTTAAACTCTCTGGAGACCAATTTCAGGTTGTTAGAACTGTGGTACCAAGGTATTAATTCCTCAGTTCTGTGTTGTATACAATTTATTTTAGGTGAATAAAATATTATGTGCGTTAATATTTGTATGCATATTTGAACATATTAATTATAATATTACATAAATGTATATTTACATATACATGCATATGCCTCTGTAGAAGTGTATGTTTCCTAGGATAAATAATAGCTACCCCTAAGAAATTGATAACCAAGAGTGATTTGCCATAATTTTTCCCTTAGCTGCCACTGGCTTTCTCTTCAGCTCATTATTTGTCATCATATTTGGGGATTTTAATATTTCTGCAGAAAGTGTTTTGAATGTGTTAGTTTTTCCTTACCAGTTTCTACCAAACCACACTGCTTCAGCTGTCCACCGAGAGAACACACCTCAAGTGTTCTTTCTTCCTGTCATTCAGAAATTGAATTTTTACTATTTCATCATATTTCCTTTCTTCTGCCAAGGAAGCTGGTCCTTTCTAACCTGACCTCTACCTGCTTGGACACTTCCCTGTTTTGTGTTCTGGAGGCCCATTTTTATTTTCCAGCTTACATCTCTTTCCTTTACATTGTTCAAAGCCTGCTTTGATGTTTGAAAAAGTATTACTTATAGGTTTTATTTGCTCAGTTTGATCATTTTGCTTTACTGGTACAGAGAAATGATTGGAGAAGTGTGCTAACATTATTCAGTACACAGGG